TTGGCCACAGGGGGACTTCCCCCCAACCCTGATTGCTGACTGATCACTAGGAGGGGGCACGTGCCCCCCCTAAGGTGGCACCAGGTGCCCATCCTTGCATGCATGGGCACCTGGTGCCACTCATGGAAGAGCAGGTGAAGCAGTGCCATCAGGTAACAAAGCTGTCGTGGGACAGAGATAATTCCAAGGGATGTTTCAGGGTGATCTATCTGCCTTGGGTGATCCAGGTCCCCTCAATACAGGGGCGACACGTACAGGGTACACACAGTACATGTGAAGCCCCCTGCAAAAAGGTGCTGCCGACACTGTCGGTGGGACCTGTGGGCAGTCACCACTTGCACCCCCATCAGGAACACTGCCTGCAGATGGTCCGTGGTTCCTACACGCCGCCGCTGCCGCTGTCGGCAGCGTCTGCAGATGATCACTGACCCTTGGTCAGCGTTCGCCACCCCCACCCCGCCAGTAGCACTGGTGGCATCTGTGGGAGCTCCCTCGCTTACCACCGCTATGCTCCTGCTGCCACTGTGCCCCCACAGCCGCCATTCATGCCTCAACATAAACACCTCTTCCACCAGCTGCTGGCCCAGGCCCAGAATCCTTCGCAGGATCTGGGCCTGGGCTCCCCTTGTGGGGGAGCTACCCCCACAAAGGATTCTGGGATGCAGGAGGATCCCAAGCTGGGGTGTGCCTGGTGAAGAACAATGTGGGACAGGGGTCCCGGGGCCCCTGAAGGCTGCAGTGGGGCAGAAAGAGGTATGATGACACCTCCAAGCCCTATTTAGTTCCCCTGAAATCAGAGCCATTAGTTCGACACCCAGAATCCGTTGTGGGGAGCTGCTGTGCAAAGGACTTTGGGATGTGGCTGTCCAGACCTTCCTGGTTGGACCAGGCTCCAGGGAGGGCACTGGGGGCAGGTTCGGGAGGGGCATAGCCAAAGAGGGGGTGGGGGCCCCAGTGTTGGGCAAATGCAGAGCACCCCAAGTGATTGATTTCCCCACTCAGGGCCGCCCTTCTGGGGCCTAGTAAACTCAGCATGGAGCCTATGTGCTGTTGGCAAGCGCCAGTCACCTGTGGATGTGGACAGCAGCCAGGTGGTGTATGACCCCTTCCTGCCTCCACTGTGCCTCAGCACCGGGGGCCAGACGGTGAGTGCCGAGGGGAGGAGCAAATGTGAGCATGTATGAGATCTAGCCCCTGCCAGTGCATGTGTGATGGCGGGTGACTCTTTGTACTGGGTTGGGTATTTGTCCAGTGGTGTCCACTTGTCTGGGGGAAGGGGCACGTGTCCACTGTGTGTGGGGTGTCTGTCCCTCCACCTGGCAACGTCATCAATCAGTCCTCACCTGCAGGTGAGTGGCACCATGTACAACACAGGGCGCCATGTGTCCTTCCGCCCTGAGCAGCTGCAGCTGGTAAACATCTCGGGGGGGCCCCTGCTCTACAGCCACCGCCTAGAGGAGTTGCGTCTTCACTTTGGGGGCCATGATACCACCGGCTCCGAGCACCGCCTCAACCAGCAGCCCTTCCCTGCTGAGGTGAGATGCCCACCCATCTGCTGACCCACGGGCCAAACCCTTCCCCATGTCCACTGCCACTCCTTCACCAAGGTACCCCCCC